AAAAAAAAAAAATGATGTTTTTTGTATATATATTTTTGGGCTTCTCTTGTTTGTTTTGCAGGATGTTTTAGTGTGAAATCAAATGTTGGAATTATATAACTTATTTGAATAGGAAAAAAGGGGGAAAATGAGAAGTTTGACTGTTTGAGGGGTGTTTGATTTTGTCTGCCATGGGGAATAAATTGGGGAGGAAGAAGCAGGTGGTGGATGAGAAGTACACTAAGCCTCAGGGGTTGTACCATCACAAAGATGTGGATCATAAGAAGCTCAGGAAGTTGATTCTTGACTCGAAGCTGGCACCGTGTTACCCTGGTGAAGATGAGTGTGGATTTGAACTCGAGGAGTGTCCCATTTGCTTCTTGGTTCGTAATCTTTATCGGTTTTCATTCGCCTTTTTCGTTTTCAAGTCGTTTTTTTGCAGGTTGTAATTCTGTAAACAAAAGCTTCATTGTAATTGGAAGGGACCCATTTGTAGGTGTAGAACTCAAAAGGAACTAGTTTTGTATTAGGAATAATTTGTTTCAAGAACTTGAATTGATATTGTATCAATGTTACTGTGTTCATTTCTGAATAAATAGAGTAATGCCATGGAAATTTCATTGTGAAATTTCGTTTGTGAATGCTCGATTAGAAATTGGTTCGCGTAGATTTTTGTTATTACTCGATGACTACATGGAGAGTATATTTTTGTATGCCTTAGTTTGTGCATCCATTTTATTTTTTTTGGGAGCTAGAACAAGAAGAATTGCCTGCTAGGAATAGAATGAACAACAGTACAGGTTTATTTTTTGATGACCGGCAATCTGAAGCATAGAACGGGTATTATTTTTTTTATTATCCCTTTTACATAAACTTTGCATTTGATGTTTTCCTTTGCTTTTGATGGTTTCAGTATTATCCAAGTCTGAATCGGTCAAGATGTTGCTTGAAAGGCATTTGTACTGGTATAGAGTTTCTTTTTTCTCTGTCTTAATTTTTCTCATTACTTATTTTAATTTATCTCATGTTTCTGAGTTAGAGTTATTTCCTTTTCAGAGTGTTTTTTGCAGATGAAGACTCCCAATTCTACTCGACCGACACAGTATCCTTCGATTTCTTGAACTTTCTTTTGATGTTTTTTTTCCTTTTATTACAATGGGTTGTCCAAAATGATTGTTTGGGTTATATATTATGTCAAGTCTTACAACTTCTGCTTATCTTAACTGTAAAATAGATGTCCTTTCTGCAAAACCTCAAATTATGCTGTGGAGTATCGAGGTGTTAAGACGAAAGAAGAGAAAGGCCAGGAGCAACTTGTGAGATTGAATTTGCCGTAATTTAATATTTATTTGTTCGGATATATGTAATGAAGTTTCAATCTTTAGATATATACGCCTTAAACTCATACTTTGTAGGACGAACAGCGAGTTATAGAAGCCAAAATAAGAATGAGACGAGAAGAAATTCACGATGAAGAAGAAAGAATGCTGAAACAAAAAGATTATTGCTCGACTCGAGGTAAATGGTTCGAGTATACAGAAAATAAAATGTGTGTTTGTTCATGTGACATTTTTTACTTATCTACCCTTTTGTACACAGCACTGTCTTTTGCATCTGCCATTGAGAGTGAAGATATGGTATTCTCCCATGAAGGCATGGCAAATAGGCCATCTCCACGACAAAGGCAGAATAGGTAGCCGATTTTTGTTTTATTTATTTATTATTATTATTTTCATTTTCAGCTTTGTTCACAGACAAAACCGTTTTATCTTATTTGAAATGCTTCGTTTAGCAGACTTGGGACTCAGAATGTGTTTACTGTTTACTGTAACTTATTTTTCGAAGATGAGCTGTTGAAATATTTGGCTAAAGTATTTTTAATTGAGCTTCTGAGATGTTATTATCTACAATTCTATAATTTGGTGGATAAATACTCTGGCAAAGATTTCGACTCTCGTTTCTTAGTTGGTCGAGGATGTATGCTAGCAAATGAAAAGTCGTGCGTTAATAATAAATCAAAACCAACATACGAAATCAAGATTAGAGAGCAATATGCATTTATTAGATTAGAGCAATACAATACTTCTTTTCTCCTTCACATCTTGAATGTTCTGATCTTTCAGTCTGACTTAATCTCTCTCCCTCTCTCTCTGTCTCTCTCTCTGGTTGCAGACAGGACAATTTTGACCTTGATCTTGAGGATATAATGGTTATGAAAGCTATATGGCTATCTATTCAGGTAAATCTGATCACCCAACAATGTAGTGTAAAAGATGCTGAATAAAATCAGCTGTTCATTCATATATTTGCCTCAACATTTTATTACACAGGAAAACGGGAGGCCCCAGGTTCTACCTTACAGCGACTCAATCCAATCCGAACAATGCATAGCGGGCAATCACACCCTATCATCATCATCATCATCGTCACCTTCTGGTGGTCTTGCGTGCGCAATAGCAGCCCTCGCCGAGCACCAGCAAGCTACCATCGAGACCCCCAACAACGACTACAGCACCAACCGAGAAGCGGAGGATTACTACCCTGCAGAGAGCGGCATCGTGGTGGTGTCTCCTGGCCGCCAGCTGGCGATGGCTGCAGGTGATGACGTGGACCACTGGCTGGGCCGCAGCCGATCGGAGATGGCCGAGGTGGGGACGAGCTACGGGGGCTCGGACGAGCTTGACGATGCGGAGAGCTCATCGGGCTTTGGGCCTCAGGAAGAGAGCCAGTGTGGGCCCAGGCCCGGTTCCCTCATGCCTGAGAGCTTCGAGGAGCAGATGATGCTGGCAATGGCTGTCTCGCTGGCCGAGGCCCAAGTGAGGCCCAATGCACCCGGCGTTTCTTGGCAGTAGCTTCTTGAGCCCATTTAAGTATAGAAACCCAAAAAAATTAAAAATAAAGGCACATTACATAGAATACATAAATTCAGATTTTGAAATTCATTCTCCTCTGTAATCAACCGCGTTTGTCTGTGTGTAGCGGTTTGAAGCCTCGTTTTGGTGCAGGAAAATCACGACGCGTGGTATGCATCGCGAGGCCTTGAGTTTCCTTTTTGTCGAACATGTCCCGATGCCTATCGGAAGGATTAGTGTTAAGTGCAAGGGCTTGTATATATGAACATGATGACATTTGATATCTGGAGATTATGTTTGGAAAAAAAGGACTTCACTCTGTGCACCAGATTACATCTCTCTCTTTGTTTGTGACCTCAATGGTTCAATGTTCACATTATCGCAAAGGGGAGAAGAACCTCCCTTCAACATCTCGGCCTGAAAAACCCGCTTGTTTTACCTCTTACCTCCACCCAACGAGCAGAGTGGTCATTTCGGGTTAAATCATTGGGAGATGTGACATTTTTACTATAAAAGAAAATGTTGTGTTATAGTAGCTATATCCTAAACAATTCATTTTTTTAGGATAATTAAACTTCTATCACATTTAGCTTCTTGTAATCATGTTGATCCATTCATCTTCATACAACCTGGGTAACAGTTGCATATATCTGTCGGGACACGGACCTTGGATTAGTAAGTTTAATCATGTCCTATCATGATACCAAATGGTTGATTATGATGCGGTTACTGCAATGAGAGATGATAAAGCACAGAAGATAAATGTATTTATAACGAGGAAATAAATATATATATATTGTAAAATAGAAGAACAAATTTGGATTACCTTCAAAACAATATAAACCAATATCTAAGAGCTTATATAAAAGCTTCCAACAATAATTGAAATAAGAAACGAATAAATAAGTCGAATAAAAAATACTGAAAATACTAAAAGGGCAAAGACGAGCAGTCCATCGCTTCAGGGTCCATCGCTAGGCGCAATGAGTGCTTCAGGGTCCATCGCTAGGCGCAATGAGTTCAATCAAAACCGTAGTTCCACTTCCTATGAGCTCAAGTTCGCTTGTTCTTAGAATAATAAGGGTAAATCATATAATATTGATAATCACTGATTACACCAAAACTCTCTAACTCGGATGTCCTACAATCGTAAAGCAGCATTGTAGGCTGAAAGTCACTGAGAATCACTTTGTCATTATTGTAGAGGCCTAAAGCATGGGAAAGATCAACATCCCCTGGAAAATGGACTGTGGACAAGTGAGACCAGCTCCGGTCCCCATTGCTCCACACCCAAATCTTGAACCAGAAAGTTGGTTCAAATTTGCCATCTTCACTGGAGAGGCGGACATGACTCCAAATAACAGCAAGAGACCCGTGATACTCCGCAAGAACGTGCCCAGTCAATGGGCTAGAGAGCTGGCCAATGAGCTCCTCCGGCAAGGGAATGAGATCAGCCGGGAACTCTTCGCGGCCGAAATCAAATGGAATAATAACTTCATCCGTGAGCCAATAATAAAAGCCGTTAATGAGAATGCCGTTTTTGGAGATATTCATCGTAGGGTGTGGGAACCGGATTTCCCTCCACGAACCGGTGCCCACCGACAGCAGCTCCCCTTTGATCTCACTGTGCTCTCGATCAGCGTCATAAAAATTGGGACACCTGACCACCTTATAGTCACCTGAGCAAGGGTCGAACCCAACGCCCCAAAGGGGATGCGGTTCATACGGATAACACAAGCAGTCTAGGGGCAAGCGAGGTTTCACCTGAAATTGAGGAAGGGGCCTGACCTCGTCGGTCGTGGGGTCCCACAAGAGAGCGGCCGGAGTTGTAATACCTTCATCCTTGGAGCGCATCACCACCCATCTGTCGCCGGCGCCGAGATATTCATAGCAGGCGCTGGTATTAAGCCGAGAAAAATTGGGGCGATTGGGTTGAACGGATTCGAGCGACTTGTTTTCAATTGAGAGTACGGATAGGCTGTTGGGGAGTCCGTAGCTGGTGCCCCGGTCCACCACAAGCATGAGATTGTCTTCGTCGGCGTCGTTGCCGTTGACGTTGTTGTGATCCAGATTGCGGCCGAGGGCAGGAGTGCCGAAACGACGAACACTGGAAGAAGGATCGCGATGTAAAATACGGGTCATGACCATGAGCGGTGGGGTTATACGGTGCTTTAATTCAACAACTGCGGCGACGGCCATTTTTCGGAGCGCCATGTTTGCGTGCGGAGGAAGAACAAATTTCCAAATCCTCAATTCTCTCTCACGGCATTTTTTTATGTCATTTTCCTATATATATTAAGCCCACTTGACGCAAACATTTGGGCCCAAATCCGGGTAAAGCATTTATCAAGGCAATATATTTGGCTTAAGTACATATCTACGAATCTATATTTTGTATTTCACCTATAAACGAATAGAAGTTTTGAATCCTAAAATTGTATCAGTTATTATCTTTAATACCACGTTTACAATGTTCTCCAAAATAGGCAACCACAATATGATGTTTATTTTTTTCTTAATGAATGCATGATTTTTTTATGCTTCCAAATGTAATTTATAAAATTTGATAAAAATTTCTGTATAATTTATTCACCAATTAATTATTTGTAGTTTATGTCAAGTTAATTTATAGTTTATGTTAGGTTAATATATACCCATGAAAAATAATGAAATATAAAAAAATAAAAAAATACAAGAAAAAATTATTTTTATTTGTAAATTACTCACACTTATGTAGTAAGAACTATTATAAAAGAAAAGAAAAAAAAAATTTAAAGTTTACTTTCCGTTAGGTTTTTTTTTTTTTTTCGAAAATATCACTTGCATTTTAAAACAATTTCATTTTTATGCTTAAGTGTCTTCTGTGAATTGTGATATAATTTACATCATTTTCTTCAATAATTCTTTAGATAGTTTTCAGTTTATTTTATGTTTATTACATTATGTCCAAAATTTATTTAAAACCAATTGGAAACTTATAATTTATCATAAATTTATTATTTATTTTTACTAAACCACGAAAAAAAATAGATCGAATGAAAAAAAAACTGAAGATAAACTAAAAATAATATAAAAAAATACCAATCAACAACTGTGAAAAATTATCGAATGAAAAAAAAACTGAAGATAAACTAAAAATAAGATAAAAAATACCAATCAACAACTGTGAAAAATTATCGAATGAAAAAAAAAACTAAAGATAAACTAAAAATAAGATAAAAAATACCAATCAACAATTGTGAAAAATTATCGAATGAAAAAAAAAACTGAAGATAAACTAAAGATAAGATAAAAAAAATACCAATCAATAACTGTAAAAATTCGTTCAAAAACATATAGAATAGGGATCCGATCAAATTTTCAGGGCAACAATTTCAAAATCTCTTTCACATACCAAAGGAAAATTGACCAGAAATTAAAAACAAATCACAACAACTCATAGATCTAAAGATCAATCAATGAAACTTCGACAACAAAAAGTATAAAAACAAATTTTGCTAAACCTAATTAGCAAACCACCGGTCGGACATGGAGTAGATCTCGAATCAAAGGTGACGAACGTTGGCGACGATTCAGACAGCGTAAGGATGCAAACCTCCCGCTGGTGATGCGTGGTGACGGCGGAGAAGCTCTTGTGACGTTGGAGGTGACGACGATGGGCTCTTTTCGTTTGTTCTTCTGACTCTTTTAGAAGCAAAAGGGATAAAGAGAAGTAATTTAAAAGAAATAGATAAGCATAATCTCGTTTAGGCATTATCTCGTTTAAGTGGAATGAAAAGATTAGATTTGATAATAATAATAGTCTATCGTTAAATGGGAAATAAAAACTTATGGGACCGTTTGCTAGGTAATTTTCTCAATATATTTTCAATTTATACTTATATAGACAGTAGTGCTATGGAGCCAATGGTTGGCTCCCTTATA